TGCAGATTTTGGTCGATTGCAGGATTTGCAAAGCATGTGCACCGCCAACGCGTTGTCAACAGATATTTTGCAAAAATGTTCATGTTTTTAATCAAGGTGTTCACGTGATTTGAAGCAATTCGCGATGTAAGATCCGTTTTTATCACAATATAGATCTTGATTATCGATCAGATCGTCTTGACTAGGCGCTGCCATTTTTTAAGATGTTATTGATGAGAAAGAAATTGAAACAATACGTACTTGTATTCAAGTATCACAATTAACACCACATAAAACTAACATGTATGTCTATAGGACTGTAAATATTTGTAAACCCAAGAATGACAATAGTCAATTGAGAACTTATAAAATTTTGATGCATATCTGCGTCTTTATACCAGTATAATGCACTACAGCTTAATGACATATTGTTCTGGGTTTGTATACCTGATCATGAGGGGGCACGGGTGGCCCAGTCGTCTAAGGCGCCGCAATTCGCTGTGCAGAGTTGCGTCCCTTGGGCACGCCAGAAACCTATGATTGTGGGTTCGAATCCCGGTTCGCCCCGATTATGTTTCTAGGTTTGTCAGCACCATACCCGTGCTCGTGGGTTTCACCGAAGTAGTAAACGTCTGAGATCTGCATCACTTCGGGCTTTCCTCCCACATTAAGATGACACGCCGTGATATAACTGGAAAACTGTTAAAAGCGGCGTAAAACCCAACTCACTCACTGACTCTGATCATGTGTTTACTGTACAGAGTTGCATCACTTGGCTGAAGATAATCCTGTGATATTGAGTTTGAATCCAAGATTCACCGTCATAATATTCTTGGTTTGTCAGAACCAAACTTGTTACTTTCGGAAAAGGGGCAAACCCCAGACAGCTGCATCACCGAGGGATATCCTGCCAGATTATGGTGAGCACGGGTGGCCCAGTCGTTTTTGACGCAGGCGTTGTATCCACAAAACCTATCATCGCGGGTTCGAACACGAAATTATGCTTCAATGCAGGTCAGCACCATACGCGTGCTTGTGGGTTTTGCCAAAGTACAAAACGTCAACGACATGCATAACTTTGTGCTTTCCTTCCACACCAAGCTCACACACTGGGATATAACTGGAATATTGTTCACAGCGAAGTACACCCAACTCACTCACAAACACGTTTCCGTGGTCTAGTGGTAGAGCGTCCGCCCGGAGAGCGGAAGGTCCGGGGTTCGATCCCCGACCGCGTCATACCAAAAGACGTTAAAAGATGGCACTTGTTGTTACCCTGTCTGGCGCTCGGCATTAAGGGGCTAAAACAAGGACTGGTCGGCTCGGAGTCAGTAAACTGTGTCTGAGTGGGGTATTCATGTTAAACTGCGGCATGGTATCTCAGTGGGCTAGCGCTATAAATCGGCATCAGTCCGGACTAGTACAAGCAGCCACACACACACACGCGCACACGCACACGCACATGCACAGACACACGTGCATGCACGTAGCTATATAAGTGCAATAATCTTGGACGCGACGTTAAACCCAATTTCACCTCACCTCACAAACACGTTCACTCATTATTATTCATTTTAAAGGCAAATATCGGATAATTCGAGCAATATTTAAGGAGACTGTTTATTCTATAAGGTGTCCTACATAATATGTTTGTGCGAACGTAATTATTCCGGTATATCCGTGTTGTGACTAATTTCGTCGCAGAAAATCCTACCATTCTTTCCGCAAATATATCTGCAACCTATTTAGGGGGCACGGGTGGCCCAGTCGTCTAAGGCGCCGCAATTCGCTGTGCAGAGTTGCGTCCCTTGGGCACGCCAGAAACCTATGATTGTGGGTTCGAATCCCGGTTCGCCCCGATTATGTTTCTAGGTTTGCCAGCACCATACCCGTGCTCGTGGGTTTCACCGAAGTGGTAAACGTCTAAGACCTGCATCACTTCGGGCTTTCCTCCCACATTAAGCTGACACGCCGTGATATGACTGGAATACTGTTAAAAGTGGCGTTAAACCCAACTCACTCACTCACTCTGCAACATATTTAATTCTCCTGAAGATAATCTAACTATATTTCTTATCTTTGTATGCAGGACGCACACACCAAAACAAATGTTTAAATAATATATTTGTTGTGACGTTTGATCAGTGAACATTTGGTGGGGAAAAGAGTGAAATTTGACTATTTGAACTATTCCAAAACATGGCTTTTAGCAGAGATTTCTTGTGATTAAGGAAAGGGTGTTGCCCTTTAATATCACTTTGAATTTGTAAAATTCGAAAGTAATAATTAACAGAAAGCTGGAAAAGATCATTGGATATACGATAAGACAAAAACTTCTCCTTCCGTTAATCCATGTAAACAACGCTGACACAGTCATTTTACCCAGCATGCAATACACATCCCTCTCGCGCCGTCCAGCAGGTCGGGGGTGACACCTATCAATGTTATTGTGATACTACTGACCAATAACACTACCATGTACCATGATGTAACGCTAGGTGCATTTTGTTTTGAAAATGCATTTATTTGGTGACCAAACCTTTTTTTTAAATATATCTTATTAACAATTGATTTTAAAAAAAATGTAAACCCTCACAAGAACATATTCACCAAAATTATCTTGGACGCGACGTTAAACCCCATTTCGCCTCACCTCACTTCACCTCGCAACAAGTTTTGCGCAACACTCTCGCTAATTGACTGAAAATGTGTCTCTCCTTTGAGTCCATTGGCTAAATCTCACCGGGCAGTACCACTTGTGGTCGCTGCACGGCAGGGTGGGTCTGAGGGCAATGCCGTATTTTAAAGAAGGTCGTGTGACCCTTTCTCAACCACTCAAAACACAGATGTAATTTGTAAGTGTAATAATACTTATGAAACATAGTTATGAAGGACTGCTGTATAGTTTCGGGGGCGGTCGGGTAGCCTAGTGGTTAAAGCGTTCGCTCGTCACGCCGAAGACCCGGGTTCGATTCCCGGCATGGGTACAATGTGTGAAGCCCATTTCTGGTGTCCCCCGCCGTGATATTGCTGGAATATTGCTAAAAGCGGCGTAAAACCATACTCACTCACTCACTCACTGTATAGTTTCGTAAAGACATCGATCAGTTGATTAACTGTCTTTATTCTGCCTTACATTCATTAATTTCACATTCCTTCTTATGGTTTGCTATCTACACACATACTTTGTTTGTATCGCATAAAACAACTTGCGAAGTACGGAAAACCAAAGCGTGCCCAACAGTTGACATTGTGGCCGTGTGCACGCTGTGATAAGGCGATTGGTGAATACTCCCTCTGTGATCATGCTGTGATAAGGCGATTGGTGAATACTCCCTCTGTGATCATGCTGTGATAATAACGCTGGTGAATGCTGCGATATATACCTTAATCTGTCTAATATCCTTCACGATTTGCGATTCTTTTTATTACAGATTATTTTAGTCATTATGATAAAAATAAAAATATTTTAATATAAACCCTATGTGTGTTCAAAACAGATCAGAAAACTACAGTTGAATACAGAACACACGATGAAGACCATGACAGTCCTTATGGTTTTTGTCGTTGGTGAGAGGCAGCTTATGGTTGATTTTGATGAAAACACAGAAATTTCATAAGGACTAAGACTACTTGTAAACAACAATTCCTTATCATAGTTAAGATAATATTTATCACGAATTTAAGATTAAAAAGATAAGGTTAATCTCTAAACATCATCAAATTGTAATTAAACACACGACAAAAAATGATGTTGAAAAGAAGAAGAAGAAGTTTATTCATGAATGAAGGCCACATGGCCCAGAGTTTATTTACAGGAATAATATATACTATGCACATCCACAAATTTTCTTACAACAAACGTTCATCTTTTTTGGCATTTGTATTCACATAGGTAATTGTCTTTTTAAATATATGGACAGGTTTTTAATAACACAATCATTTCTGGTAGATAAAGACTGAAATAGAAATATCGAAATAGATATAATAATAATAATCATAATAATAATCATAATAATAATACCAATAATAAAAAATAAATAATAATAATAATAATAATAATATTAATAATAATAATAATAATAATAATAGCTATTTCGAACAAAATTACACATTTGATTGTTAAGAATGTTAAGAACATCTTTCTGGAATAAACGTTTATCATGTTAAAGTTATCCGTGGTGAGGATATTATTTTTAACACAGTAAGCATGTACTTTTTACAGTTTGATTCGCGCGTCTTTCTCATTCCAGACAAACACAGGAGTGGGGACTTACAATGAAGACATTTCAAAATAAATATAAAACATTTTTTTAAAATAACGGTCTCGAGTCTGTGTGCATGTACATTATCATTATGAGAGAAGAGAATGCACGTTGTTTGTTTTATATCTCAGTGTGAAGTAGTAGGGCTACGTTGTGGTGCCCAGTAAATGTTTGAATCAGGGCCAGTCAAACCAATGATTGATGGCATGAGCAAGGATAGCATGGCTGAAAGACCAAGAGTAATAATCTTACCGAATCATGGATTCGACCAACGACCAGCAGATCCTGGCAGTGCTAATGGATGCAACTCTGCACAACAATTCGCGGTGCCTGAGACCAGTGGGACAGTCACGTACTAATATCTGACAAAAAGTACCATTGCAGACCGCTGTTCCTTGTATGGTACATATAAAATACACATAATACCTATACTCGCTCAGAGCATTATTGTCTGCACGACACCAAATGAGCAACATACTTTGACAGTAGTGGTCGGATTAAAACAGTTAGATACTCTAAGGGTGGAGCTCTAATACGCAATACGTCTTTTCACACCACCTGCTGGAAAATTCAACCAGATGATGAGGGCCAAACCAGTTCCATTTACCGGCCCTGAAACTGTATAATTGTCCATCCAGCAGATGAAGTACAGTAGCTCCTTGCTGAGAAGAAGGCGAGGTTGCGGTATGTTCAGTTGGTTATGAGCGTAGATTGTGTACAATGACATTCATGAACATTGAGTATATAAGTCCACACCATTGACTGGGTGGCATTTATTGTTGAGACAGACAACACAATGGCTGACCTATCGTTCGTGATTCGTGCTGCTGTCATTGGTAAATATGCGATGATATTTTGTATTGATATTGTTTATAACGTTTTTGTTTTTTCATTTAAACACGCACCACCTTGGCGGCACTTCTCTCATTAGAGGGGGACTAAGCGCAGTCCATTTTCTGTCTTTTTGTTGTAATAATTTTTAACATGTGGGCGAAACAGAGGTAAGGTGAGATGAAATGGGTTTAACGTCGCGTTCAAGATTATTGCACTTATATAGCGACGTGCATGCACGTGTATGTGTGTGTGGCTGCTTGTACTAGTCCGGACTGATGCCGATTTATAGCGCTAGCCCACTGAGATACCATGCCGCAGTTTAACATGAATACCCCACTCAGACACAGTATTCTGATTTCGAGCCGACCAGTCCTTGTTTAAGCCCCTTAATGCTGAGCACCAGAAAGGGTAACAACAAGTACCATCTTTTAACGTCTTTTGGTATGACGCGGCTGGGGATCGAACCCCGGACCTTCCGCTCTCCGGGCGGACGCTCTACCACTAGACCACGGAGGCGGTCTGGGCGAAACAGAAATATTATTTATATGTCACAGTGTATTTCCTGTAATCATGATCTGCTAAATTGGTGTGCATTATAATATGTGAACCACAGACACTAGCTGTGGTGTAGGATGTCCCTGGATCAAATTTGCTGAGACATTTCTTTCATCGAAGCGTAATTAATATTCATTTATTATCGGAAATCCTGAATTTGTATACGATATTTGACGATTTAATGGTTGGTTGGTTGGTTTATTGTTTAACGCCGCACTCAGCAATATTACAGCTATATGACGGTGGTCTGTAAATAATCGAGTCTGGACCAGACAATCCAGGGATTGACATCATGAGCATCGATCCACGTAATTGGGATCGATGACATGCATCAACCAAGTCAGCGAGCCTGACCACCCGATCCCGTTAGTCGCCTTTTACGACAAGCATAGTCGCCTTTTACGGCAAGCATGGGTTGCTGAAGACCTATTCTACCCCGGAATCTTCACGGGTCGACGATTTAATGAGTTGATGTTAATGTTAAATACCTTTATCCGTCCAGATTAACAAAGCATGGGTACGCAGCTATGGCTATTTCATTATGAACTGCCGGTCAAAAAGGTTTCCACTGGAAGACTGGATTAAACCAAATGATAATTATTACAAAAGTTATCCAATCGTTACTTGGCTGAAACCATTCGCCGAAAAACTGCAAACTTAAGATTCAAAACACAACTATGATACCAATATAAAATATATCACAATCGAATAACCACCCGTGAAGTTTCCGGGATAAAATAGGTCTTCAGCAACCCATGCTTGCCGTAAAAGGTGACTATGCTTGTCGTAAAAGGCGACTAACGGGATCGGGTGGTCAGGCTCGCTGACTTGGTTGATGCATGTCATCGATCCCAATTGCATGCGTGGATCGATGCTCATGATATTAACCACTGGATTATCTGGTCCAGACTCGATTATTTACAGACCGCCGGCATATAGCTGGAATATTGCTGAATGCGGCGTTTAACAACAAACCAACCAACCAACCATCGAATAACGATTTCTTGTTCGCTTCACTTTTAGCCATCATCAAACATGTGTTTATACTTTCTTTTGCTCGTCAGTTAACATGGACATTCCCAATAGCAACCTTGTGGAAGGTCTTCGTCGTAACGGAATTTCCCGTATTCACCATAGCTACACAATTCGATGTCAGTTCGATGTTGCCCCTTAATGAGATAAATCTTGGGTCGATGATCATCAAAATTATTTTTTTTAAATTAATAATTTCGGGTATTTTGAGATTAATAAATACAAACAATATCCAATATAATCGGTCACCTGAACGTTACATGGTCTCCACCTGCAGGCATGGTTCTGGCCGTGACACTGGGTCAGTTCGGTTTCCCAGGACTTGGGGGAAGACCAGCGTTTGGTGGCCAAGGGGGAGGTAATCCACTCCTTGGTGCTCGTGGAGGCGGCTTAGGCGGACTTGGTGTATTTGGTGGACTTGGACTCCCAGGAATTGGTGGGGGGTTCCAGCCTCAGCCTCAGACTCCTCCACCCAACAACCCCCAACCCCAGGCTCAACCTCCCAGTCAGGACCAGAAGAAGCTGGTGGACCTCCTGGTGAACGTCATCTCGAAGAACCACGACCACAAACACCATCTGGATCACCACAACTCCACCGTCGCGGGGAAGCCCAACAGAATGCAAGCAATCAAAGATGCCCTCAAACTTCATAATCAGAGATATTGATTTTAATGTTTTTGTTGTATCATAATATTTTCAAATCACCTCATTTTTGTTTAATAGGTTCGTTGTGATCTAATACTACATTGTGGCTGATACTGTAATGATGTGATGTTTGAACGAGTATAGCCTATAATACTCTTAGAAAACCCACAGTTGTACAAGTGAGCATGGTTGTACGACACATTTAGAAATACAGTAAACTACGGTTATAACGAACTCAAAAGGACTACTTTTAGTTCGTTATAACCGTGGTTCGTTATAAGCATATATACAGCATAACTACAGCAAATAGTCGGGATTAAAAAGTTAGTTCGTTATATCCGTCAGTTCGTTATAAGCGTGTTCGTTATAACCGTAGTTTACTGTAGTTCAGCAATATCACAGCGGTGACACCAAGAATTGGCATCAGTTATTGTCCCACCGCCTCAATAGGCAACTTACCCCTTGTCATTTTCAATATCTATATCTTAACTCTAAAAGAGAGATATCTAAGTTGGCTTTGCGAGGTTTAGAAGGAAATCTTATCTCGACCAAACATTTATTGTTTCTATTATAGCCTAGGTGTGTGATTGTTTTATCCTGAAGTTAGATGCTTGTGGTAAAGTCATTGGATTAGAGTCAGCTATGAACCCACAAGAGTATTTGAAAAGATCATACGATATTAATAGTATTAATCCTTGTTTTAGGTTATCAAACAAGAAGCGTAAATAGTTTAACCATCAACCCAATAACTTAAGTTAATTTTAGGTGGAAGTGTGCGGATTAGTGCGAGGCAGGGTGTAAGATTTAATAGAGAAAAACTAACCATTCACTGATGTGTAAAAGCAACATGCACATCGATGCAGATTCCAGGTAACATTGGTCCTAAATATACCACGATCATATCAATCTAGCTTCTCTATAGAATAGATATGATTAAAACGTACATGCAGTCATCTGATATGACCATGGTCACCTTGTTGTGAGTTCGAACCCTAGATTCGTCTATATATGACTCTTGGTTTGTAGCCGCCAATTCCGTTATCATTGATTTCATCAAGTGTTCACTACCACTGCCCACTACCTGTGTCAATCTGGATTTTCTCAAAGCTAACACTGTGTGATGTGACTGAATCATCCTAAACGGAAACCCTTCACATTCTAGGGGTTCGGCTGCCTACAGGGCAGTTACCTTGAGTGATGTTGATCTATAGGGTTTCATCTTTGAACAGGGGCAGTCGGGTAGCCTAGCGGTTAAAGCGTTCGCTCGTCACGCCGTACACCCGGGTTCGATTCTCGACATGGGTACAATGTGTGAAGCCCATGTCTGGTGTCCCCCGCCGTGATATTGCTGGAATATTGCTAAAAGCGGCGTAAAACCATACTCACTCACTCATCTTTGAACGATGTTATATTTTCCACGAATCTTACATCAGCCATGGTATTATATTATTTCACCAGTTACACATTTTCTAGCTATAGTTATACAGTTGAATGTGTCATTAGCAAGAGGTAGAAGTTCATGCTCATTAAAATATACACCGTGAGTCCCATTGTCCTTATATTTCATCATGCTTTCTTCGTTCTTTATTTATTCCTTCAAACCACAATTACATATGATTCTGTTGAAAGACCTATCTGTAAAATATGTTCATTACAGAGACTAGATACTTGTCGAACCCAGCCACAGGGAATCCTGCTTCTTCAACCATCACACATGTAACATCCAAGTGAGAGAGGGTTGTGTCCTATTTTGCTATTGGGAATTTCTTCCGTAAAAGTTGAACGTTATTGTAATTTGATAGGAAATATTTTAGATACGCCTGAATAATGGGACGCTTTTATTAAGAATGTTTTAACAAGAAAAGTAACATGCTTACACTATTCGCGAACACCTGGTGTCATCACTGATTTCAGTGATCCATTCATATAAATGTCCCTACTATTTTGCTTTTTTGCCCAATGGAATCTGTTTCGGCAGATAATCAAGAGTGATTATTCTTTGGTGTTGACTTTGTATCAGTCAAGTTTTGTTTTTTTTAAACAACCTATGAACATGTCTTTTGCCTTTGGTAGTGAAAACCGTGGCTGCTTATAATAGTCTTGACTAGTGCTAGCCCACTGTGATACCATGTCCCAATTTAACATGGATACCCCGTATTGACTCGAAACTGACTCCGAGCCGACCAGTCCTTGTTTTATCCCTTTAATAGCGAGCGCCAGTCCGGTAAGAACCAATTGAATCCTCTAACCCCATTTCCCACGAAGACAGGTGTCAGGGACAGGGGATCGAACCACCTACCTTCCGCTCTCCGGGCAGACGCCCAATCCAAGGCTATTAAACGAGTGTTTACAATACTATGGTGAACACGGGAGAGGTACTACTGCTTGTAAACATCTATGGAATCGAAGCTGCTACCGAATGAATGCATCAACTATGAGGCTACCCTTAATCGGATAATTAGTCAATCAATCAATCATTGGGTACTTTTATTGGCTTTTTTCCCATGCATTGATGATTCTGATTTCACAAGTCGCATGCTTTGAGACGCCATCGGTTCTTCACATGCAGTGCAATTTGTGAGCCCATTCTGAGTGTTCCCCGTTGTAAAATTGCTGCAATATTGCTAAAAGCGGCGTAATATAGCACTCATTCACTGACACAAACGGATATCTCGTGAAACCCATTAATCCAGGCGAAAACGTTCCAATTGAAATCCGGATAAACAAATTTCGGGATTATGGTGAATGGTATCATGGCACTGTAAGGGTATAATAACTCAAACAAAGCCAGTTCAGGCAGCATGAACAACGATCAACATCGTTAGGGTACAAGATTACACACAAAGAGGGTTCAGACACCATAAACAACATCTAACATCGTAAGGCTACACAAAAACTGTTCAGACAGAATGAATAACGACCAACATCGTTTGACTACATTCGTTAGGGTACAATATTACATACAAAGCCAGTTCAGATAACATGAACAATGGCCAACATCGTTAGGGTACAGTATTACACACAAAGCCTGTTCAGATAGCATGGACAATGGCCAACATCGTTAGGGTACAATATTACACACAAAGCCAGTTCAGACAGCATGAACAATGGCCAACATCGTTAGGGTACAATATTACACACAAAGCCAGTTCAGACAGCATGAACAACGTCCAACAACGTTTGGGTACAATATTACACACAAAGCCAGTTCAGACAGTATGAACAACGACCAACATCGTTAGGGTACAATATTACACACAAAGCCAGTTCAGACAGTATGAACAACGACCAACATCGTAAGGGTACAATATTACACACAAAGCCTGTTCAGATAGCATGAACAATGGCCAACATCGTTAGGGTACAGTATTACACACAAAGCCTGTTCAGATAGCATGAACAATGGCCAACATCGTTAGGGTACAATATTACACACAAAGCCAGTTCAGACAGCATGAACAATGGCCAACATCGTTAGGGTACAATATTACACACAAAGCCAGTTCAGACAGCATGAACAACGTCCAACCACGTTTTGGTACAATATTACACACAAAGCCAGTTCAGACAGTATGAACAACGACCAACATCGTTAGGGTACAATATTACACACAAAGCCAGTTCAGACAGTATGAACAACGACCAACATCGTTAGGGTACAATATTACACACAAAGCCTGTTCAGATAGCATGAACAATGGCCAACATCGTTAGGGTACAGTATTACACACAAAGCCTGTTCAGATAGCATGAACAATGGCCAACATCGTTAGGGTACAATATTACACACAAAGCCAGTTCAGACAGCATGAACAATGGCCAACATCGTTAGGGTACAATATTACACACAAAGCCTGTTCAGATAGCATGAACAATGGCCAACATCGTTAGGGTACAATATTACACACAAAGCCAGTTCAGACAGCATGAACAATGGCCAACATCGTTTGGGTACAATATTACGCACATAGCCAGTTCAGACAGCATGAATAACGACCAACATCGTTAGGGTACAATAACACACACAAAGCCAGTTCAGACAGCATGAACAACGACCAACATCGTTAGGCTACAATATTGCACACAAAGCCAGTTCAGATAGCATGTGAACAACGACCAACACCGTTTGGATACAATGTTACACACAAAGCCAGTTCAGACAGCATGAACAACGACCAACATCGTTGGGGTACAATATTACACACAAAGCCAGTTCAGATAGCACGAACAACGACCAACATCGTTAGAATGTAATATCACACACAAAGCCAGTTCAGACAGCATGAACAACGACCAACATCGTTAGAATGTAATATCACACACAAAGCCAGTTCAGACAGCATGAACAACGACCAACATCGTTAGGCTACAATAACACACACAAAGCCAGTTCAGACAGTATGAACAACGACAAACATTGTGAGGGTACAATAACAGACACAAAGCCAGTTCAGACAGTATGAACAACGACCAACATCGTTAGAGTACAATAATACACATAAAGAGGGTTAAGACACCATAAACAACGTCTAACATCGTAAGGCAACAATATTACACAAAGCCAGTTCAAACAGAATGAACAACGACCAACACCGTTAGGCTACAATATTACACACAAAGCCAGCCCAGACAACATGAATAACCACCAACATCGTTAGTCAACAATATTACACTCAAAGCCAGTTCAGACAGCATGAATAACGACCAACATCGTTAGGGTACAATAACACACACAAAGCCAGTTCAGACAGTATGAACAACGACAAACATTGTGAGGGTACAATAACAGACACAAAGCCAGTTCAGACAGTATGAACAACGACCAACATCGTAAGAGTACAATAATACACATAAAGAGGGTTAAGACACCATAAACAACGTCTAACATCGTAAGGCAACAATATTACACAGAAAGCCATTTCAGACAGCATGAACAACGACCAACATCGTTAGAGTACAATATTACGCACAAAGCCAGTTCAGACAGCATGAACAACGACCTACTCCATTTGATTACAATATTAAGCACAAAGCCAGTTCAGACAACATGAACAACGACCAACATCGTTAGAGTACAATATTACGCACAAAGCCAGTTCAGACAGCATGAACAACGACCAACACCGTTTTGGTACAATATTACACACAAAGCCAGTTCAGACAACATGAACAACGACCAGCATCGTCAGTGTACAATATTACTCACAAAGAGGGTTCAGACACCATGAACAACGTCTATCATCGTAAGGCAACAATATTACACAAAGCCAGTTTAAACAGAATGAACAAAGACCAACACCGTTTGGATACAATAATACACACAAAGCCAGTATAGATAGCTTGAACAACGACCAACATCGTTAGGCTACAATAGTACACACAAAGCCAGTTCAGATAGCATGTGAACAACGACCAACACCGTTTGGATACAATGTTACACACAAAGCCAGTTCAGACAGCATGAACAACGACCAACATCGTTGGGGTACAATACTACACACAAAGCCAGTTCAGACAACATGAACAACGACATACACCGTGAGAATGTAATATCACACACAAAGCCAGTTCAGACAGCATGAACAACGTCCAACATCGTTAGGCTACAATATTACACACAAAGCCAGTTCAGATAGCATGAACAAAGGCCAACACCGTGAGTGTACAATATTACGAACAAAGCCAGTTCAGAGAGCATGAACAACGACCAACATCGTTAGGCTACAATATTACACACAAAGCCAGTTCAGATAGCATGAACAAGGGCCAACACCGTGAGTGTACAATATCACACATAAAGCCAGTTCAGAGAGCATGAACAACGACCAACATCGTTAGGCTACAATACTACAAACAAAGCCAGTTCAGACACCATAAACAACGTCAAACATCGTAAGACTACAATACTACACACAAAGCCAGTTCAGAAAACTTGAACAACGATCTAGACCGTTAGGATGTAATATCACACACAAAGCCAGTTCAGACAACATGAACAACAATCAACATCGTTAGGCTACAATACTACAAACGAAGCCAGTTCAGAAAACTTGAACAACGATCTAGACCGTTAGGATGTAATATCACACACAAAGCCAGTTCAGACAACATGAACAACAATCAACATCGTTAGGCTACAATACTACAAACGAAGCCAGTTCAGACAACTTGAACAACGATCTAGATCGTTAGGATGTAATATCACACACAAAGCCAGTTCAGACAACATGAATAACGACCTACACCGTTAGGATACAATATCACACACAAAGCCAGTTCAGACAACATGAATAACGACCTACAACGTTAGGGTACAATATCACACACAAAGCCAGTTCAGACAACATGAATAACGACCTACACCGTTAGGGTACAATATTACACACAAAGCCAGTTCAGACAACATGAATAACGACCTACACCGTTAGGGTACAATATTACACACAAAGCCAGTTCAGACAACATGAATAACGACCTACACCGTTAGGGTACAATATTACACACAAAGCCAGTTCAGACAACATGAATAACGACCTACACCGTTAGGGTACAATATTACACACAAAGCCAGTTCAGACAACATGAATAACGACCTACACCGTTAGGGTACAATAACACACAAATAAAAGCAACAAACCCCTTTCCATATTCATAGTCTCTGACAAAATCAGTCGATTGTACAATTGTAAAAGTGAGGTAACCTGATCCCCTTAATCTACCCCGGAATCCCAACGGCGTTAGACAGTATGATCTTATACATGCATGTTGCTTTCAATAATGGAAACATACAAATGAGAAATCTGCTTAAATGCCGATTAGAATTAAGTTATAGATGTTTGTATGGAGATTTGAAATGGCCTATTCCAATAGAATAAATAGTACGTGCCCAAAATGTTTTTAAAAGTATTTGAAAACTTGGAGTGTCGGGTTTTCACCCACGAACCATTTAAATTTGCAGAAATAATTCATATGCATATTAGAACATCACCCAACAAGCAATTTGTTTCTTTGCGCAGATTAAATACAAACTTAAACAAAAGCGAGAAAACCCTTTCCATATTCAAAAGAAATCTCTGCGAAAAGTAACGCTGTCTGTTTCTTTTCATAATTAAATACAAACTTAAACAAAAGCGACAAAACCCTTTCCATATTCAAAAGAAATCTCTGCGAAAAGTAACGCTGTCTGTTTCTTTTCATAACTGACTGCAAAATTTGCCCCAAAAGAATTTATTTATCTTTTTTTAAACTATTGTAATTTCAGCAAAAGACGTAATTCCTAATTAAAACTACATGATGTCTTGTTAATCGTCTTAACACAAAACTGGCTGCATTGTATCGGATTACCCCACGTGTAACCAGTAACAAACCGATACTTCCTACTCGGAATCCATCCTGGTTGAAAATACCTTATACAAGCGCAGGGAAATACTTTCACTTCAAGAGCCCCTACCATGAGTAGGATAACGTGGGCGTGTTTGACTGTTAGTATATTTCATGGTATCTAAAGGAAAAGGTCGTTAACGAAGCGGTAGTTGTACGTGCATTGTGGAAATACCTGTCTCGGCAGGTGATAACAAAACAGTATATATTCCTCTCACCGCAGTGGTGAGATCACACTTCATCAGAAGAATCTTAGCAAACATTGTCTGACACCATGGCTCACATCTCAAACTTCATTCGTCTCTTCGTCCTTGGTGAGTATACAATTCTTTCTAAGAATTCGTTGAACGTACGTTTATATGCATATATATAAGTTTTTATGGTTTTTGATGTTTATATTTCTCGATTGTTTTATCAATACAAAAGTTTAAACAACAGCCATAATCATGTCACGTGTTCCTCCAGTAGTCCTACAGGTTGTCTGAAATATTTGCTCGTATGAATTAAAATATTTACTTTGGTCCAATTTGTTTGACAGTTGTATTCTTCAGCGTGTATGTATTGTCTGTAGACTTGTAGTTAGAAGGGGCGGTCGGGTAGCCTAGTGGTTAAAGCGTTCGCTCGTCACGCCAAAGACCCGGGTTCGATTCCCGACATGGGTACAATGTATGAAGCCCATTTCTGGTGTCCCCCGCCCTGATATTGCTGGAATATGGCTAAAAGCGGTGTAAAACCTCAGTCAGTCAGTAAGTTGTTGTTAGAATATGATTTTCGTTATGTTTTCTGAAGTCAATGGGACTAAGTGTCTACTGATATCGTACAATGGCGTGTTTTACGAATGAGCTAAAATAAAGATTGCGTTATTTTTTTATATATTTTATTTAAACAATAGGGCAAATAATACTCCCAAAACCGAAGTCGGATACGGAGTTTAGATATCAACCTGAGGACCCTTTCGGTTCGCTGTGTCCCAGGTTGACTGCGAATTTACACATTTTTTCAAAGCTATTTCAGTTTTGGATCGTATTTTCATTGTATTTTATGATCTCAGTTAAAAGACAACATTTTAATTTGTCGACAATCTGAATATTCTGCAGGGGCAGTACTGACCGTGTCGATGGGACAGTTTAACCTGGCTGGCTTCGGTCAGGGAGGGAGACCCAACTTGGGAGGAAATCCTTTCTTTGTCGCGCGGGGAGGACCCGGGCTGGGAAGACCCGGGCTGGGAAGACCCGGTCTAGCAGGACTTGGAGGCTTTGGAGGACTTGGGGTAGGAGGCCAGCCTAGATTTGGAGGAGGAGGTTTCGGTGCAGCATTGGGAGGCCAAGGCTTTGGAGGACAGCAAGGGCTCGGAGGCTTTTCCGCCTTAGCCGGAGGCTTCCAGCCTCAACCCCAAACAACCACGCCTCCACCGACAACCACGCCCCAGGATCAGAAGAAGCTGGTGGACATGCTGGTGAAGGTCATCAGCAAGAACCACGCGATGCACATGAAGCAGGACAAGACGGGTGCCGATGATGAAGGATCCGCAGATGGATCTAAAGAGGCTGAGAAGCCTGCCAAGGTTCAAGCTATCGTGGATGCAGCGGCACAGTTTAACGCTATCCATTAAATGGAAGCAAGACATGAGTCCTGAACCTCCCGGTATTTGCCAGGGGATTTGGTTCATCCCGCTGCATGGTTCACCTTCAATGTAAATGCTGTTCTTGCGCTAAGGCTATTATTCTCACCATCTTAAATTTCTTCATGTTTTCCTAAAACAATAACCAGCTACTTAAAGCTGATTTTTTATCTTGAAGTATTTGTCCCTACATAAAAAAATATATATATCAAAAACACTAATTCTTCCTAATTTTGACACTACATACTTTTCCTTGTCAATCGTCTAATTTTCTTTTATATTGAAAAAAGTTTTCATTTTTATTAAACCTTCAGGAAAGTGAAGGAAAGGAAGAAACATGCTGACGGAAATAAATACCTATTGGAGCACAAATAGTATTCAATGTCTAGCGCGTATATTGAACATAAAGGTAGCTTTGCATTTATTACTTATACACATATGCATATTTATATATTTTGTATATCACGTGATCATCAGATTCATCACTATATACCATAGACCAAAAGGAATATTTGAAACCCGTCACACCCATTGTGACGTCACGGGACACATGTGCAATACAATAGAATCGACAACATGATGAACTATTTTTCACAATTTTCGTCAAATGCATCTTGTGGGATTCTTATCAATACATATTCAAGCCTGTCAATTAATGTTCCATTTGTATGGTATGCTATCTAGAATATACTTTATTTAAATACTCATACTGATCAACATGAATCGCCATACATGACATATATTTCTTCATTATACCGTTCTATATCATGATACTGTATGTTACTTGACATTTCTTTTACCTCTTCGGTCTATGTTCATTGTTTCACCTTGTAACATATCCTCATCGTCATGTATCATAACAACGACACCGTGCGTGTCTGCTGTGAATAAATCATGTATTGTATTTCCTTTCTTTGTCATTCTTTAATACACGTGAAACATCCCATACTACGGGATCAAGAGTGAAAGCTCCTTATAATGTTCGCCCCGATCATCATGCTCAATAGGTCTGTACCATGCCCTTGCTGGCGGTTTTCATAAATTGGTCCATGCTTACCGTAATAGGTGACTATGTTTGTCGTAAGAGGCGACTAATGGGATCGGGTGGTCAGGCTCGCTGACTTGGCTGATGCACGTCATCGATCCCAATTGCGTGGGTCGATGCTCATGATGTCAATCACTGGATTTTCTGTCCAGACTCGATTATCTAAAGGCCGCCGTCATTTAGCTGGAATATTCTTCTGAGTGCGGCGTTAAACAACAAACAAACAAATCATAAATCGGTCAACGCCTACGTCTGAACATTCAGCTGTCAGACCGGATACCATTTTAAAGGAGGCGTTAAACCAAGCCTGTGTTTGTCTATTAGTCGATTGTTAATTTTATTGGGTTTAGTTGAAGTCAAAAGATGTATGAATATGTATGAAGAGAGAGTGCGTGCCTCGTAAAACGCCGCAATGGCCACAATTCCAATTATATCATTTCGGCCTGTAGATCGTGTTTTGGCCAGGCGAACCAGTGGTTTATAGCATGATCAATTATCATGCTGGTGAGGGATCGACGACACATCAATTAGGGTCACACTTGTGTCCACCTTACCATCGGCCCTTACGACAAGAATGAGCCCTTTTCAACCCCGACTGGGAATATGTATCAGGGCAAAGACCGCCTATCGAGATTAACTGAGGCTGGGGCAGCAACCTGGGGGTCAATAGAGTAAGTATATATACATGTCCATTTGGGGTACCACAACCCTAGCCAAAGCACAGCTGAGAGTCGGTGCATGCATGTATATGTCCGCACACATTGTGACCGCACCATTTCTATTCACCCTTTTAGCCTGACACAAGAAAGTATTAAGGCCACGTCTCCATAACTATATAATACGTTTACATGTGTTCAGCAGACCTCATGTTACGCCGGCACGTACACTGTGTATGATGAATCAGTGAGTGGGTGTGTTATATTTAACGCCGCTTTTAACAGTATTACAGTTATATCGCGGCGTGTCAGCTTAATGTGGGAGGAAAGCCCGAAGCGATGCAGGTCTTAGACGTTTACCACTTCGGTGAAACCCACGAGCACGGGTATGGTGCTGACAAACCTAGAAACATAATCGGGGCGAACCGGGATTCGAACCCACTATCATAGGTTTCTGGCGTACCAAAGGGACGCAACTCTGCAAAGCGAATTGCGGCGCCTAAGGCGACTGGGCCACCCGTGCCCCCGATGAATCAGTGAACTGATGATGAAGTTGAAATTAGATTGGGGATAGCATGGATAGAGGGGAAATTTTGAGATCGAATTGTAGTTGGGTCGGACTAGGGGAAACAGAATGGTAACACCCATACTTGTCGTCACGTCATGTCGCCTTGTAGAACGCGGCACGGAATTTTAGAGTGCTAGATGTCGTTTTATCCCGTATTTCGGTTAGATCAGGGTGCGTCAGACTCAGCATGGTGGTGGATATGTGCTGACTCGCGTTCATAGGATCTTGACACGGCTAAGGGACAGAACTCTGCACGGCGAATGGAGCTGGGATTGTTGGGTCAAATTCCTGATTCTTGACAGGCGTGGTGATTTTGGGACCTATCCTGCTCGGCTGTCACTATTGGGTTTTGGGTGACTGGTATTCCATACAATGGTTACATTTTGGGTTGATATACACTTCCTTAAAAGGTCGTCTAAATGGATCAGGCGTCCAGACTCGGTTAATCGTATGTCATCACACTGCAAACACGAAAACGTCGTTTTTTTCCGTATATGGTCATTGGACGGAAAAACGACTAAAAATGCATTAAAATTGATTAATTGGTCAGCGTCTAGAAAGTGTCCAGAAAAGGGTCGAGTTTTTCAAGCGTAAAATGGACGGAAAAACGATGCTTTTTGCTCCGCCTTGTACAACTGTTAACGGCCAATCAGATGGCGCTGGTCCCCCGACGCACGTGATGTCCAAGGCTTCCTTTCGGACGCTTTAGGTTTCGTATTTCTGGCATGCCTTGCTCTAGTATCTGTCGCGCGCAGTGCAGCGAGATTTGCTGATAAGCTAGTTTTAGGATATGTTACATGTTAATGGAATTCAGACACGCGCCAAGAAGTCAAACCAAACAATGTTACCAAGTTTATTGTGGTAACGGCTATGTACAGTTACCCCTATCGGATAATTGGTTGTGTTTCATTTGGTTATAACAATAACTAATTTATTAAAGTGAAGTTTACAAGATATACGACTTGGACGCGAGGTCGGTCACATGACGTTCTTCACGTGACTGTATTCTTGAAAAGGCGTAAACACTGACTACTTCCACATTCCTGGGGAAACCCTTGGAATTCCCTGGTACGAATTCATACAGAAGCGTGGTTGCAAGCCCATTTAAGGATACCCTCGCTACAACCCATCCCAGAGAGATAAAACACGAAAAAAATCCAAACTGTCGCAGTGACAATTTACAGAAATCTATGAATTTACCTAAGTGTCTATTTGACACATCTTCACAATCACCTTTCAATGATCGGCCAATTGATCAGTGATGTCAAAGGCTTGAAATAGCCACAGGTTAATTAACAACTTCGGAAATATCTCCCGTCACGTTTATCGTGTCGGCCATTTTGACGTATTGTACTTGATGTAAATGTATTACGACGCTCTGTCATTGTAATTGACTTACTGAGGTAATTCTGTAAAAGATCTTCTCATCTAATGAGGATATTGTTTGGAATATATTTCTTGTAAACATACTAAAACATATGTTCCTCGCTTTGGGGGAACTATTTTATTCCGGGGTGGCCCATTAAATCTAGTAGTAAGTCAAGGCACCATGCGTGATCTGTTATTTTATGTGTTTAAATTACGATTTGGGGCGTTAATAAAATACACTGACGCAAGTATATTCTATTCAAATCAATTGGACAATTGAATATGCTTTCTTTTACATATTACATAACATCACTCCACAAAATATGAACAGTTGCAGTAACACAATACGGTAATCGCATTAAACATCATTTTCAACTGTACAGTATTTCAGTATTTCAGTTATATCATGGTGTATCAGACTGATGTGGGATAAAAATCCGAAGTGGTTCAGGTCATCCAATGGGTGTTCGGGAAAAGGTGAGCGTATCCTGCCACACAAGTGGCACCCGTCACAAACACATGCAAGGACAAGTCAATTGTTCACCTGAACAAAGCACGGAAACACACAATGATGCCCGTCCTCAGTTTTACCGAGCATGTAAATTATTTTGTCCGTCAAAAACATGGACGAGTATAAACAATATGTTCATTCACGTAATACATGTCACACATTTGACAAAATGTATTGACTCGGAGCATCATTGTTAATCACAGAGTATGCAGTTGAACTCATCACCCATCCCATATTGATAACCCTTCTTGAAGATCTATGAAATCAGAAGCTGCAACACTCTATCTTTTAACTGGCATGTCAGACTTCTATTTCATTACTCAGTTTTATTTGCACGGATTACTATGGGAGGGACATTGTCTCGTTGTCGCATTGTCGCATTGACGCCTTTACAAAAACAAGCAAAACGTGTCAAAATTAACAAAAGCGCGACAATTGGCCATGTGTCGCATTGTCGCGTGTTCGCATTGTCGCTCTTTGATAATCCTTTTCTTTATTTTACAAAAGGGCGACGATGCCGTAACGCGACATTTTCAAGGTCAAAATATGTCTCGTTGTCGCATTGTCGCCCCATCACAAATGTGTATAAATGGCGTAAAGTTCAGTTATTGTTATAGTTAGGAAGTTCAACCTGATAAATGTACGTCTTTAAATGAAAACACAAGTCCGTCCGCGAGTCCATAACGTTTTATTGTGAGCTCTTCTCTAAAAGTGCTTTGTGTTCAACTCCCAGTTCCAAACACGTAGTACCTCCTCAATAATCCACATACCTCCAGTGCAGTGGTCTTCCGGAAGATCTTACTCTTGACCGTATTAGACAACTGACGAGTGCACGCCTGACCTGTGACCTCGTTGCAACACTCGTGATGTGTTTGCCGAAGGGAGAGGTGTAGGAAATGTGTGCTCCAGCCCAGCGCAGAGCTCGCGACACACTGTATACTGATGTATACAGTATTTTGCAGTTGATATACTGTATACTGCATGTGATACTTATTTGCGGACATGTTACAACTTTCAAGATTCAAGATTCAATTTGCATATATTTCATATACAACAGACCGCCGTCATATATCACTGGAATACTGCTGAGAGCGGCGTTAAAACAAATTGTTTTCATAATGGAGCGCTGCAGTCATTTAAAATAGAACCGTACACATATGTACATGTAGTACCAACTCACTCTATTTGTTTCGAATATTCAGCAGAAAATATATTATTAACCAGGTCTTTGGGAAAAGATATCAGATTTTTATAAGCAGACACATAGGGATGATAAAGGACCCCTCGCTGATTAGGTTCTTGTTTACTTAAGAGCAGAGTTGGCCATGTTAGATGATATAACCAAAATCCAGGCGTTCCGGCGGGGGGCAAGCTGGTCTTGTAAGTGTATGGTATGAGCTGTGACGTTGACCCAAGATAATAATGTAAAACATGAGACCAACTCAAGTCTATAATGATTGGGAAAGTCTAGATTTCCACAGCTCTAGCCTGAAATTAAGAATTGTTCTCTGCTCCATTTTAATTGTATTATTTTCATTTTGTAGACATGGGTGGACCAACCAGGAAAGAAATTGATGGAATATTAATATCACATGTTACCACTGATCCAGTTAAATTCATCACACAATAATAAATTAGTATTTGACATTACAGCATTTGATTATTAGGGCATGATCATGTACATGTTTACTGTAGTAATGTACACACCAGTCAACTTGATTATAATTTTTATCAAAGTGTAGCGCGGTATCAACGA